TCAGTCGGCCTGCTTTTTGTTTCTGCTCTTGGCCGTGTTGCAATGGCCTGAGCTTCTGGAGAAGTGTTGAGTAGAACTGATGAGAAGAACCATCCTTGGCATGTTCTTCACATTAGGTGGGAGACTTTCAATATTTGAACAGTTATGTTCAGGGGTTGCCTCCCCCAACGATGTTATGTTCTGGGTTAACTACGATGTTATGTTCGGGGTTGCCTCCCCCAAGGAAGTTTCCATCTTAGTTTGCTGAGAATTTTTATCTTGAATTGCTGTTTTCTTGGCTACTCTTGCTTGTTTATATTTTTCCCATGTCAATTTAATATTCATTTCTGGTTTAAAACATTTTTGGAATTTTATTAGAATTATATTAACTTATAAATTAATATTGACCTGATACACTTATGATGTTGAGTCTTTATGTTCAAAAACATAATTCAGAAGAATAGTTTGTAATTTTAGTAATGTTTTAAGGTTAAGGCTCTGTTAAGATAGTTTATGTTATGGTCTTGCCTAGGTATTTTAACAATTTGTTTTGCTGCTGTAAATGAGCCTTTTCTTACATTTCTAACAGATTATTGTTTGTATACATGAAGACTATTAATTTCTGTATGCTAATTTTATATCCATCTCCTTTACTAAATTTTCTTAGGTTTTTAACAGTTTTTTTCATAGATTCTCTTGGATTTTCCATAAATTCAATCATGTCATGTCACCATCCAATTGTGCTAGTTTTAGGTTTTGTTTTCTACCCTTTGGTGTCTAATTGTTTTTCTGCTATCTTCAATGCCATGTCAACAGAGGTGCTCATAGTGAGTACCCTTGTATTATTGCTGGCTTTTGTTGGAAAGCCTGTAGTGTTTCCCCAATGAGTAAAATGATTGATTGTGGATTGTGATATAAAATTTGTTGAAAAATATCATCTGAATTTTTTTTTCTTCTTTTTACTATTATGGCTAATCAGTTTGGTTTTGAGGAGAAGTTTCAGGGAGATTTAAAAAACCACTGCTACCATGATCATGTCATAAGAAGTTCCTCAAAGGTTAAATTTTATTTAGTAAAAGCAGAGAGAGAGCAAGAAGGAGAGAGAGAGACCTAGACAGATGTATTTTCTCTATGATTACAGATAAATGAGTGCGGGGAGATTGCGGAAGAGACAGAAGGAGAAGGCTCGTTCAGTGTGTTAACAGAAGATAAACCACAGGATGCTAGAAGCTGTGCAGCAACACTTAATGCTGGAAGAGGTGGCATGGCAGGAAAATCCCTAGACGCAAACAGGAAGTACATTATTGGAAAAATCAAATAAATTGACCAATTAGCATTAAGCTAACATTAAAAATTCTGTCTTTAGATTGCTCTGAGATCTCATTGGATGCCCAAGATAGCCTAGGGATTCAATTGCCCACACATGGAAGGATTCCAGTACTTTATCTTTGGAGCCACACTCCAGTTCAGTTGAGCTCAATAATAAATGAATAAGTAATTTGTTTTAAATCAACTAATACGAGCCCAGGAGGGTCAATTTTCCATGGCTTCCAACTCTGTGCCTACCCAGTCTGGAGAACTTTGACTTCTCACATTTCAGCACTTTAAGCTTAGTGGAAATGCTTTTCTCCTTGGAACTGAAATGCCTAGCTCTAGCCCTCCTTCCTTGGAAACATTTTTTATTTTATTTTAATTTTTGGGGGGAGGATACATGACATCTATAATGCTAATCATCAAAACGGCAACTTTTGAAAGAATGGCAGATATCTCAAAGGCAAGTGTAAGAAATAAATCCCCCAAAAATACTATGGTTGGTGGGAGTTTGTTTCAAAACAAATAAGTTTCTGTTCAGATCAGAGATTTGCAGCTTTCCATCACCTGCTGAGTTAATGATCCTGAAAAACCAGGAGCTTGGCTAACAATGCCAGTTTATTTTGGCTTGAACATTCACTCAAGTCCTTCTGAGGTTCCAGCCACACTAAATGTCGCCCAAGCACGTTGCACTGTTCACCCACTGCGATGAAGGGTGTACCCAAAGAGGAGAAAAACACATCTCTTACCCACCACACTGTGGCAAATGTATTACCAGTATCTTCTGTATTTACCTAAATTCATGGTTGCATTCTATCTCCCGTTGGACTTCATTCAATTCTTCATCATTTTCAGATAAGTTTTGGAAATATTGATTTTGAGAAGTCAGTTTTCCCCTTTTTATTTTTATGTATGGGCATGGTGTTAATTCAACCATAAAATTAATTTGCTTTACATGAGGGAAATAGCACTATGAGATGACAAAGTTCATGTACCAATTTCTGCCCTGGGGATTTTGCTCTGAATATTGCACAGCCTAGCTTGTCAAATGTGGGAAGAATACCTAAGAACTGAGATGTGTGATTATCTTTTTGGCCTGGATACTGAAGCCTCTGCCAATTAGAATGAACTGATTGGGGTATGACTACTAGATATAGGGAGAGATTCAAGCAAATATGAGAGAAAACTCCACTTTGACCTGGTGGGCCATGCAAACCAGGGGAATGCCTTCTTCCAGCACTGTCATTTCAGGAATTACTTTGCAAATGCAAGGAAGTTTGCCAGACAGCTGTCCCTGAGAGTGAAGTTTTTATTTTACTCTTTTCTACTTTATTTTCGTTTTGTGGAAAATTCTCCTAGACAACCAAATAGTTGTGCTGGAATTGTTTTCTTGTCCTGCCCCTGTCAGTCACAGAAAACAAGAAAACATTCTATTTTTTTGCTCCACGGGAGCCACATATATAGATGGCCAAATGGCAGCACTGAACTATATAGAAAACCAAAGTAAAAAAGATAATTAGCTGATAGGATAAAGGAAAGAGAGAAAGGAGANATGGCAGCACTGAACTATATAGAAAACCAAAGTAAAAAAGATAATTAGCTTATAGGATAAAGGAAAGAGAGAAAGNATAGAAAACCAAAGTAAAAAAGATAATTAGCTGATAGGATAAAGGAAAGAGAGAAAGGAGAGAGAGAGAAAATAAGAAAATAAATATTTGTCTCATAGTTTGTCATTATTTGACTTGAGGACAATGTTAAATATTCAGATTTTAAAATCTTATTAGTTTCAGGTGACCACTTCTGCAAAATATATATTTCCTACATGGTGCCCTTCCAAAATAAATTTCTGTTATGGATTGAGGTTGTAGAAAATATAACCATGTGTTAGTAAAGCATATACACACACAGCAGCAACAACAACAAAAATAGTTTCTCATTTACACAATGCTCAGGCTGTTGGATTAAAAGCTCCAATTTGAGCATCTAAGTATATGGACGCTATTATCATCTATTTTGGAGAGTTAATAGTTTTTTGAACTGTATTATTTAAGGAAGAACACAATTTTGTGTCTATATCACTCTATACTGTTGGAAAATGATAAAAATAGTCTGTGTTGGGGGTTTTTTTCCGTAATCTATATGTCAGATTGAGGACATTTTTTTTTAAGTATCCCATTAAATAAGATAGGAACCCCTGAGATCTGGGACATGACTTATTTAGGCTGGGAAAGGGAGGCTCGTGGGAGTTGGTGATCAAGAATAGCCTCCCTAATTGAAAGCTGCCAAAAGAAATCTATTGGAAGGACATCACATGTGCTGAGGATTTTAAAGAAAGGATTTAGTGTAAGGAAATGTGAGCAGTTTCTCCCGGATAAAATGGAAAATAGAGGAACTCCTTTAGGAAAAGGTACCAGATGTCATAGAGAGTTCAATGAGAGATGGAACATAAAGAAATCTCTCTTCTTTCTCTAAACAACCATGTCACGAGGTCAGAGAGCAGTGGCACAGAGACAAAGGAATTCCATGTAAGGTTTCATCTGAGGAAAAGGAATTCAGTTACTATCATTGAGAAACTATTGGATTACACAGTATTCATGATCTCTTTCCCCTGTAAAATTCTATCACTTGAGCATTATAAGAGAGGAATGTTTATAGTAGTGTTACTCTTTCCAGTGGAGAACCTGCTCTGGGCAGAACAGAATGATTATCTCCTAATCTTTTCAAAAAGTTTGACATAAATGTCCTCTCCAGTGGCTCTGGTCTAGCCTCAAGCGTCTGCCTAGGAGGTAACTGGCTTTGCAGGCGGCCAGCAGTTGGCCAGCTGGAAGTTACCCCCCGGAATGGGCTGCTCCTGATTCACATTCCCAAGGCCATATCATTACACAGATCTCTCAGGAACATCGTTTCAGTGGCAAAGTATCTGCAGGAAGGTGAGAAATTAAGCAAATGAATAGAGTAGTAGTATTAAAAATTTTAAAGCCCACAGAAAAGGAAACAGACCAACCAAGAAAATACCATGGTGCGTCTCTTCAAGATTGAAGGGAAGTCTGGTGTCCTGACACCCCAATCAGGCAAAAGCAACCCTTATTATTAATCAGGCAAAAGCAGCACCTGATTAATAGTTGTCAATGTGAAAGGGGAAACCCAGTGATAGAATTTATCCATTTTAATGGACACCTTCCATTCCCATTTTTTCACCCAGGCATGCGTCCTGCCCTTTGTGGGAGGAAAGTTGGTCATCCACAAACTGACGGATGTGAAATTCAGCCCGTCAGACTTTATCTGGAAACAGGATCTGCCAATATTGCTTACAGGAATCTTCAGAAACCCATTCTCAGCTCTACCGATGACACATTCTACCAGCTGTTACTTTCCTGTCAAACTGTTCATTCCCCTCATGACTGTTCAACAGAGGCACCTCCAAACTTAAAGATTCAAAGTTTACCCTGTTTCTCCCACACTCTTGTATCTCTCCTTCCCCACACTGTTGCATTCAGATTTATTTATGAGGTGGGTATTGTGATCCTAGACATCATTCTCTGTCTTTCTACTGACCCACCTTCTTCTAGACATTTTAACTTTTCTATTCTTTCCACCTCTATGTTCAAAATCTCTTGTCCTTTCCTTTTACAGTCCTGAACATATGTACTAGGTGGCATCCTTCTTATAGCAGTTAATCTTTAAAAAATATTCATGTCTTTCTCTTCCAGGTTGTAAGCTCCTTCCAACCTACAATACTGACTCTGTTGCAAAGGACATAGAGGGATCTGGGGCATTCAGGTAGGAATTTACTTCTTAAACAACAATTCTCAAAAAGTCACTCCAAGTATTCAAGAAAAGATGCGATGGTTATATCTACCTCACCTACAAGAATCTAGTGTGCTGGATTAACCCTTCCTCTAAACTAGCCCTTATAATTTATAGACTGTCTTTGCCCAAATTAGAGTAATAAGGCAAATATCTTGCTTCTGTGACTACAGAATATTGATCTGGATGACTTCGTTGCCCAAATTCACCTTTGTCCAAAATTATTCCATTTGAGTGTTCTTATACCTTAATTTTTCATATAAAGTACAAGAGTTTTCTGTTTTTTTACCATTATAAAAATTTAGTTTATGTGGTGTTATTGCTTTTCTGTAAGGTAGACTACTATAGAATTGCTAAGATGCCATTGTAAACATGGCTCCGGAAAGGTAATAAACCAAGTGAAAGGTTTCCAGGTTGCCATGGACAAGATGCATTACCTGCGTGTGTACACAGATGAGTGGCTTGCCCTGATCTCACCAAATGCACTCTGGAAGGAGGGGTTGTGGCATTACTGCTCAGGAGTCTTTGTCAGTTCCCATCATATACTCACTGGTAACATTCATGGCATAAGAAATCACCCAAAGCAAAAAACCCATTTTATAAGTGTGACTCCATCAGAGATTTACATGTATAACCACCAATTCAGAACTTATTTCTTATTATTTACTCACATCCATTTAGCTTCTTTTATCCAAGTAATTCAAAGTGATTAAACAGTTTAAAAATAGCTAGAAGTCAAACTTCCCTTAAGAAATTTGTTTTGAAACATTATAAGCATAAATTTGATGTGTTTGCTAGGAAACTGATTTATAGTATTTATGAGCTAATTGATCTTAAATGTGTTGTGTATGTTACTTTCAGAGGTTAATTGAGAATAAATAAAACCAGAAACCTAACTACTAAAACTCTTCATCTTTGGGTAATCTCTTTTCTAGTTTCTGATTGAAAAATAATTAATTTACATATTTCCTCTAAGCCTGATTAAGGGACTTAACACTCTCACAAAGCAATTTACTTAACATGGGCAGTTCTGTACATCTCAAGCATCTCCATTCGCAAGACATGTCCTGGGGCTTCTGAAAAGATGACCTCATTTCATGTTAATTAGACTAAAATTTAAAATCCCACCAGAAACCTAAGGTCATGTTCCCAAGATTCACCTCATTTCCTTTATCTGAGTCTGTATATGGGAAAATTTAGCATGCTTCTACAAGCAGCAGTGAAACCTCTCAGCAAACTGATCTTTACTATGTAGGATGGATTTTGCCTAGAAAAATATTAAATTTTGTCAGTGGACTCAGTGAAGTTTTAATCATCCTTGGGAGGCTAACTGTGGATATAACTCTGGTGTGTGTGTGTGTGTGTGTGTGTGAGAGAGAGAGAGAGAGAGAGAGAGAGAGAGAGAGAGAGAGAGAAAGAGAGAGAGGACTTTATTTCTTCATCAAAAAATACAAAAGATCATTATGTTGCCTTGTAAGAGGTTGGATGATATTTTGTAACAATTTGTCCCTTCTCTTCGGTACCACTATGTCATTTCCACTGTAATTATCATTTACAAGTTATTTACTTAGGCTATTTTGGTTTATGTACAATGAGGTTTTTGTATGGGTTTATGTTTTGGGGGATGGGGGTTTATTTTTTTAGAATTTGTAGATGCTCGTTGACTCCTATCATTATCAAAATTCCTTAGAATAACATAATGACCCCCTTCCTGAATTTTGCATTTCTCTTCTTCAATTTGGAGTCATTGGCCCTGGAAAATAAATGAACTCAATGCTTTCAGGTTTCAGCCATCTCTTTGCATTATCTTTAGCCTTGAGTTCATCCCAAGTTTTGCATTGATTTGTTCTTTAAAATATTTTCTATTATTGGGATAGGAGGACTGTGCATGCTGAACGATGACCCGCATCTTATATCCAGGTTCACACAATTCCAAGTGACCGGGACTTTGATACACAAGAAGTGCATAGCAGAAAGACTTCTAGATCTCCCAGATATTTCTTCAACTTTTAAAATGACTCAGCATAATTATTTATAATGAACTGAGTTTAAGATTTAATCAAAATGGCAAAACCAATTCCAGTTACTAAGTTAAGCACAGAATCTTTTGGGGATATGATATTGTGGAGGAAGGGAAAATTCCACTTTCCCATCTTGATTCTTACGGCTAGTTGAGTAATTAAAATGACATAAGGCAAATTAAAGAGAGAAAAATCAAGTTACAATACATACACACAAGGGATTCACAGAAGCAAGAAAAATGTCAAAATAATAAGGCCAAATGAAGTATATTTATTATTCTGGACTAAGCATGAGTTGGGGGTCTGGGACTTCAAATGGAAGTTAAGTCAATCTACAGGTAGATGAAAAGAGTTAATGTTTAGTAAACAATGTTTGCTGGGCCATCTGGAAACAATGCATCAAAGAAAGGACTTGAATCAAACCTCCTCTCTGTCTACCACACCTGGAAGTTTCCATTGTTATCTATGGTGATAGCTTCTTCCTGGAACAGGCCCTCTGCCTTACATTCTTTTAGGCAGTTCAGGGCAAGGTCAAAAGTTCTTTCAGAGCCTTCTAGGCCGTACTAATTAACCAGCTTAAAATTATCAATATCCCAAAGAGGCATATTTTGGAGTGGCAAATTCTGCTCCCCTTCTATTTAAAGGCACAACTCTATGGCTATACCTTAGGGTCTTATGTGAACATACCAGATTTGTCATTATGGCGGTTATAGAAATCCCAAGGGAAGGTCTTTGGGATGAGTTGACTGTGTTTTGAGTATGTTCAAAGACAAGTTATTACTTCTTTGGGATGTTTTCGGAGACTTTCTTGCACTTTATCATAAGGCAACCACAACAGTTATTACAATTTTGTCCTTTCTTTTCTGTGGTTACCATCCTGTGCTTTCCCACTACTGCCAGATATAGCAGTTGGACTTTTATTTCTTTCTTTACAAGTTTGGCTTGAAAACAGTTTCCGGAAATAGAGAAAAATTTCCTCCTGCCCAGTAAGTCTTTTTCATCTAATAAAATAAATGATGCTGCTACTGGTTCCTTGATATGCTGTGTAAATCAACTTTAGAAATTTATATTTTCATCTTAGACATGAAACTATGAAGCACAAAACTATAAAACTGGACCACTTTTAAGGAAAATAAACCAACTATATACAAAGGTGTGCTTGAAAATAAGCAGCAATCATGGCAAATTATTTGTTTGCATGTTGCAATCTAATCCTTCCTGCTTTCAGTGAACGTAAAGAGTTTATTGGTACTCACATAACTTACTCTGGAGATAATGATGTAACAAACAAACCATTTTATTTTCTCTTAGTTAGCTAAGTGAACATAATCAACAAAAGGATTTTATATAACTCTAGAGTCTGAGTGTAAGATATGTTTTTTCAAAGATGTTTAAAATCAAAGGTGTCAAAAAAGAAAACTCTATTACTTCAAACTGGTTATTTCCCCAAAGTTCAATAACTGTCAATGGTTGATCTAAGAATATACAAGATGGTATAATCAAAAGATTAATCATTTTTGTCAGGTTTGTTATTTTTAGAGAGGTTCAAATGAAGGTGTCACATGTTATTTCTATTTTTTTTAATTGTGGTTGTTTATTTTTAATGATAAATAATAAGATTAAGAAACTCTACTAGCTTAGTGCTAAATCCTTCTTGTAATGTTCATTCTTCCATTTCCCAAATTTACTTTGCCAGTCTTATATATTTCTTTTTTCTCTCTCATTTATTTATTTTTAATTTAATTTATTGGGGTGACATTGGTTAATAAAATTATATAGGTTTCAGTTGTACAATCATACAATACATCATCTGTATATTGTATTTTGTGTTCAACACCCCAAGTCAAGTCTCCTTCCATCACCATTTATCCCCCTTTTATGTCAAGTGTATCTCTTTAAAATGACTGGCACAATATTAAAAGACCAGTAAATTTTATTAAATCTTATTATAAGAATCCTGAATTTCACCAGAGACTTCCAATAGAGTCATAAGAAATTATCTCAAATGTATTATGAAACACAATAATTATTTATCATAAACTCTGAACTATTGGCTATAAATGCACTCTTTGTCCCCCCCCCCCAATGTTGAAAGCTTGATTATATTAACAGGTGAAAAAAAATACCATATGTTACTTCTGAAAAGAAAGTAGTAGCTCCTTTTATATTTCTTTCTTTCTTTCTAGTCAGATTATATTTTCAGCCAAATGAATTCAAATAGTTGAAAATACTTATATGTCATATAAGCAAAGTGTAAGTAACAATTAGTATATACATTGGGGACCTGGTGAGTTTGCCAATGGCACCTTTTTAAAGACTATTAGAAAATGCAAAATTTTAAATTGATAGGAACAAAGGGAGGACTTTGCTAAGTTTTCATGAGTTTGCATACTGTGGAAGCAGATATGAGAGAATAATTTTCAGCTCTAACTTACTGTTTAGTTATGTATACCTGGGGCTGGAGCTTTCCGATTCCTTCCTGCCTCTGTGGTTGTGTTAGCTGGCTGTGGTGGCTAAGACAGTTTGAATCAATATGGTTAAACAGCACTTACCTTTTCATCCGCTTGTTTGGTCATGTGCTCCCTCATTCATTCGACATGAACTTATTGAGCATGTGCCATATGCTGTGCACGGTATTACACAGTGGAGATAAAAGGAAAATAAGAAACAAACCTTGCCAACTACCAGCTCCTAGAGTCACGGGGAAAAAGTAACATGTTGATAGTATGGCTGGGTGAAAAAGTGAAGACATTAAGCAAAAAAAAACACACCCCAGAGATAAACAAACTCACAGACAGAGACAACAGACAGCAGCAGTAGGTTCATTGCCAGAGGGAAAGGACAAGTGGTGATGGGAGGAGACTTGTCTTGGGATGGTGAACACACAATACAATATATAGATGATGCCTTATAGAATTGTACCCCTGAAACCTGTATAATTTTATTAAGCAA